AAGTAGCTAGTTAGGATATAATGTGGAAGATTTTTAAAACACTAAAAAGTAAATGCTTTTCAGGTAAATATCGCAAATTTATCTTCATATATGCCACTTTGATGAAACTTTCCTAAAGGAATAGATTAATTAATGTAATAAAGGCCGGTTAACTTTCATCGATTATGTTTCTTCATTAATTTTAATTATATGATCTACTAGGAATTCGTGATCGGAATTAGTAATTCATTACTGATTTATTAGGATGATTTAAGACTTATGTAAATTTGATGATTATTTAAATTGAGAGATTTAAGTTATAAGGGCTTTTTCTAGATTTGAGATGGTGGCAAAGGATAATTTTTAAAAAAACAAATTTAATCATCTATTTCTGTAATTTAGTTGTATTTATTCATTATTTGGAAATAGTGAATAAAAAAGTTTTTAATTGATCTTTTAATTTCAAATGAAAAAAGTTTAAATTTTTGAATACTGTTGGTGTAGCTTGATTAATAATACATTTAGGAGGGTATAGAACTATCCACGAAGCTATTGCCAAAAGCAAAATCTGATAAAATAAGGAAAATAAAGAATTCATTAAAATGTTGGTAATAAGGTTCATTTGTTCTTCAATCTATAACTGATATATGTCATAGTCAATATTCCTTATTCAATAATTTTCTTTTACTAATTAGTTATTTTAATCTAATTCCATACTTTTTTTGCTTTATCTCTCTATGAATAAAATTTAAAAAAAAGGTTCTTTCTTACTCTCTTTAAGTAGAATCATATCTCATCTCATCTCATGGGATTTATTTAACAGTATTAGTTCCCCCAATAATTTTTAATTTCAATTCTTAAAATAGGAAAAATATTTCACTATTTTGTTAGTGTGTTAAAAAGAGGTCCAAATTTATCCATCTATATACATTTTATTAATAAAGTTTCACCTCCCTATATCAAAGTAACATACTTTAGAAATTTAAGAATAATAAATTTGAAAACTTTTCATATTTTTGCACACTCATCAATTTTTGAACTATTATGCATCATAAATCGTACCAAAAATTTTAGTTATTCGCTCTCAAATAGT